CCGCCACGTAGAGAGCCGATCAAGGTCAAATTCCCGGATTCCTATAGTGGGAAGAGGGAAGAGAACTTTGATAACTGGGAGGCCAACGTTAAGACCTATGTGCATTTGCAACAGGTCTCCTTGGATCAGCAGGTCTTGATTGCGATCCACGCGCTTAAAGATGARGCCGCCAGTTTTGCAAGGTCCTTGGTTCGTGCCGCTAACTGTAGCGACAATCCTGTTGCCTACTCCTCGTTTACCTCCCTCACCGAATTTCCGAGATTACTGCGCGAGCGATTTGTTGACGTCACTCGCAGTGTAAAAGCTTCAGATAAACTGCAAACCATCCATACTCGCAAATGGAAAAGCGTCAGGGCGCTCAAGGGTACAATGGACGAGTTAGCCGGGACATCTGCTGACCAACTTTTTGGTTTTGATTAAATTAAGACTAAGTGTTTTGTTCCTTTGATTGGAGGGTGCATCGTTTACAGCCGGCGTTAGGTTAAGTTACCATGGCCTGATATTAAGGAGATTACCTTTGACTTTATTTTGAGGCGATGCTCGGACCCGCATAGAGCAAGTTTCGTGAGAAGAGAGGTTCTCATGGTTGGTTTAGAGGGTGCGGGCAGCCATCGGCCTCGACCTGGTTTGTGCAAGCAGAGCCCGGCGCGAAGGGAAAGTTGGAAGGTTTGTTCTCCTGCGGATACAGGTGGGGGTCAAAATCGGGTGGCCACATTCCTCGTTCATTATTTTGGTGGAAGTCATTGTCCCGGGTAGAAGCGTTAGCAGGCTGCTTTAGGAGGGCTGGGTCAGTGTGTACGTCGGTACTGGTGAGCCCCCTACCCATTTGACTTCCTACCCTTGCACCATGGTAAATCACGGAGCGGGCAGATGTCTGGTCGCTATTGTGACCATTCCTAACAGTGTCTGGTTGGTATTGTGACCATCCGCGCGCCAGAGGGACAAAACCTCAGCGCACGGGCATGTGGGAAGAGTCGTACTTCATGCATGTCTGGGTTGTGACCGTAGCTCGACCAACACCCTGCTTATAATGGGTCGCACGGGCGTCCACTGACTGATTCGAGATTGAGAACAGTTATGGGTTGACTCGACCCATGCAGTCGAACCCAAGAGCCTAGCTCAGTGGGCACACCCATAAACTGGACAGACCTGAGCCGAATGCAGGTGCCATTAGGTGAATAGAATAAAATAATTCTGAATTGTTTGCGGTGGGTCAGTTCAATGTTGGGATCACAAGGTTGCCGCCCTTCTTGTTGGACGTAGGGTGGCCGTCACGACAGTCGAGGATCTTGAGCAAGCACCTGTTTCGGTTGGTTCGTTGTGGTGCCTGCGTCTTCGGGATGGTGGCAAGTGTGGAGTGATTGGAACTCCCACGGGTGACCGTCACGACAGTCAAGGACCTTGAACGTGCCAACCCTTGGCCAGCTGTTGAGGCCCCTGCGTGTTCGGGACGCTGGTGAAATTCCTCTCCTCCTCTGTCTGAATTTTCCTCCCTATTTGTTTTTTCAATTTAAAAGTCCCGCTTTCCCGGACTGGACCGGTGCCGGTGCTGGTTCCGGGGCCGGTCCTGATACCCATGGGTTGTTTCAGTTGGTACACCTACCGAGTATTGAAATACAGATCTGAGTTCGAGCTTCACTAGAAGCAGACATTGTCAAGTGGAATACTGCAATTCATACTTACCTAGAGCCGGTCAGGTCAATAATCGTATATCTGGGCCGTAGCCCCGGTACAGTCCTTCGGGACGTCCGTTAAAATTGGAGCGATATAGAGGAGATTAGCAGAGCCCCTACGTTGGTTCCATGCCCTGCCGTGGAACCAACTGGCCTAATCTCATTTGGTACACCCACGAACTCAGTCTGTTGAAGTACAGACGTACGTTCTGATGCAGATGCAATCAAATTACCAGAATAAAAACTTTCTGAAATTGCCTGGGTCCGGCCGTAACGGAAATTGAGGTCGGATTCATCCGGCTGTGAAGCTGGGTGAGCTGCTGTTCCAAAATCCCGTCGGACAGAGTCACTCGAGGCTGTGAAAGGCTTAGGGCCTCGTTAGACACTCCTTACGGTTTCCTTGAGCCACAAGGAAACGTCCTTGAGGTTTTGAATGGAAAATTGCGGCGTCGTTACACTCATCCTTAAGGCCATCCCCCGAGGGTGTTTCCTTGTGGCTTCCCCGCGGCCGTTTTCATACGCAAATTAGCGGCCGCGGGGTCTGTCGTCCTTGGTCCAGCTTCTTTGTCCGTGCGGAGGCTGCGCGGTCCAGCGACGCGAGGCGGGAAACGGCAGTCTGCGGGCGGCGCGAGGAGAAATTTAAACCTGAGAGCGTGGGCATTCGAAATTCAAATTTCGAATGCCAGCTTCGACAGCGACGACGACGTGTGGCTGGCAGGACGACGGTGTCGTGCTGCGGAAAAGGGTCTGGCGGCGGCGGAGGCCACGTCCAGAGGGCTCCCTCATCTGCTCCCGCAGCGTGTTGTGCTTCCATCGCCGTGGACCTTTGCGCACGTCGACTGCGCGTTGCTCTTCGCTTCCGTGCGCCGGCTTGTGAGCGGAGAAAAGGGGCCACCTTCTCAACGGACGTCTTTGGGACCATCGTCCGGTGCGGGAGGACGAGACAGACGGCAGCGGAACGACGGGCTATGGAGGGCGACGCTGCGGCTAGACGTGATGCGCTGAGTCATGGTGAGCTGCAGGCTGTGGCGGCGGCTGTGTCGACGATCGTTCTTCGATGTCAGCAGGAGAGGGCGCTGGGGCGACTGAAGGAGCATTTGCGCGCGCGTAGACGGAGGACATTGATGCAAGATCCGCACGATGGTGCCGAGTTCGTGGCGACGTCGGAAGCTGTTGTTCAGCTGTGCTATGCGTTGGGCTGCGGAGTGATACCCCGCGCGACGCCGCGGTGCTGGGTGAAGCGCAGGACAGGAGGAACGTGGGAAGACCTTAGGCTATGCGACGACGCGACTGACGACTACTTCCGCGATAAGCTGCGAATGTCGCCGCGAGTGTTCCGGGAGATCGCAGAGGCTTGTGCGCCTCATCTTCAGCGGCAGGTGACGTTCTACAGGGAGCCTTTGCAGCCGGACCAGATTGTGGCGTACGCACTGTACAGGTGGGCTTCACGTGAGACATATGAGAGCAGCACGTGCAACTTCGGGATCGGACGAGCTTCTGGGCTGATTGCCATCCACGACGTGACTGCCGCGCTGCTGAGGGTGTTCGGCGATAAGATAGCGTGGCCGACGGGAGTTCGTAAACAAGTCGTTCTTCGGGCGTTCACTGATAAAGGCTTCCCCAACTGCCACGGTTGCATTGATTGCACTCACATCTACGTCGACAAGCCAGCGAATGCTCCGAGCAAAAATTACTGCGAAAGGAAGCGTCGTTTCTCCATCGTCGCGCAGGTCGTTGTCGACTTGGACTTGCGTGTGCTGGACGTGCACATGGGATACCCGGTAGCTGCCACGACATCAGGGTGCTGCAGTTGTCCAGTCTGTCGCTACGCGCGGAGGAGGGGTCGTTGTTCCGCGGGCCCCCCGTCACATTGCCGTTCGGTGTGAAGACGAACGGTTACCTTCTGGCGGACAATGGGTACCCCCCTGCCGAATGGATGGTCGTCCCGTACGGCAGTATCAATCAGAGCGTCGAGCAGGAGCGGTTTGACAACAAGCAGAAGGTGGCAAGGAGAGCGGTGGAGAGGGCGTTCATCAGGCTGAAGGGCATGTGGTGGCTGTTTCTCCGAACACACAAGACAAACCTTGAGACGCTCCCGCAACAGTTCACCGCCGTCTGCATACTGCACAACTTACTGATCGACGCGGGGATCCCCTTCGACGAGAATCTGTTGTGGGAGGTCGACGGTAATGGTGTGCGACGACGAATGGACCTGGGGATCGACGAGCCCCTCCAGCCTGTGTCCATGTTGACGTCGACCTGCGAAGCCTTGGCCCTGAGGCATGCTATGGCGGAACGAATGAAACACGAATGAGTCGTGTATCATTCATGGACGACAGCACATGAAGATGGCTTAATTGCAACAATGGGCGGACACCAGATTGGTCTTTCTGTCCTCCCTTGATTGGGTCGCTGTCGTCTGTACCTCGACGGGGTTGGTGGTTTTTGTGGAGGGTCGTTATTCGGATGGTGGAAGGCAGCGCATGGAAGTGCGATCTTGGTGCAATGACCGGAGGGCAGAATCGCGGTCTCGTCGGCCATCGGGTTGGTTGCTAGCACTGTTAGGCGTCGTGGTCGGCGGTTTACGTCGACGATTGTGTTTGGTTAGCCTTTGCAATACACGGATGTGCGTCGCGTTCCTTTTTTTTTTTTTTTTTTTCAAATTTTTTTTTTTTGGATGCCGTTCACGAGGAGTAGTGCGGAACATGCTCATTGCGGTTGTGAGGTGCGCCTTTTTCGAGAAGAGTTAGCGCATTTAGAGGTTAGAGGTATGGTGTTCATTCGGGTGGGCATGAAACTTTCCCCCCATCTCGGTTTCGAAAAAGAGTTTTGTAGTGTTGTGATTTCTTGTGCGACGTTGGAAGTACTTTTGACAGTCGTTTTCGGCCATTTCCATTTTGTGTTCGCATTCGGTGTGCGCCTGTTTCATTGCGTGCATGTCGTGCGTTGGCATTTGTGATTCGTTTGATTTTCATCGGCCAAGTATTCCCTCGACTGATGAGTGCAACACGAACACATGGACTGTATGCCACTGGGATGATTCTGGAATGCGAACACACAAAAACAAACAAAAAAAAGAAAAGGAAAAAAAAAAAAACGTCTTCGAAGCGACGATCGAGAATGGCACCTGCAAATGAAGAAGAGATGTGTGAATGTGCATCGAGCACTGCATGGACCGTCAGGTTAGGAAAAAGAGCAATCACACACTGCAAACATACGAAATATCCGTCCCGAATCGAAGACATGAAGAAAAAAAGGTGCGCTTCCAGCGCGTTATGAATGTACATGACGCATGCTGGGCCGACAAGGAAACGTGAAACAACATCGCAGAAACCTAACTTTAATCCGCTACTGCAATCTACTGCAGACAACGCCGCGCACCGTCGCATGAACACTGCGAACTGCCAAACTAAATGAACAAGCAAGGACACCGACGAGCGAAGTTGCATCTACCACCCTGCCATAGTGGACAGCCGAAAACGGCACGACAGACACTCTGTGCTCGTGCGGAACGAAGGGAGAGACCAACAACAATCTGTGTCGCGACGCACCGCCACCTTTCCCGCCGTCCGCGTGCCATCACAAGCGACAAGCAAACCAAGGCAATCTAGCACAACACCATCCCTCCACCCCCTACGCGTCGTTTTCGCCATTGTCGCCACCGTCCTCCTCCAAGGGCCCCGAACCCAACCAATCCCTCTTCTTCGCGTCCTCTGGGCCCGTGATGCTCGCGTCGTGGCCGGACGTGATGCCGCAGGAAGCCCAATCGGGGATGTACTTCGGGTACTCTCCAAAGGTGGCGTTCACCTTCCCCAGTCTCTCCGTGACGACGTTCGTCGCTCGGATGACGGACCTTCGATGATCGAAGGCGCGATGCATGGACGCGATCAGCGCGGGCTTCGCGACCAGCTGCGCGAAGTAGAATGCTTCGTAGTGGCTACGATGATCGTCTCCCGCCATGCGCATCAACCACATGCAGGCAGCCAACAACAGCCTGAAGCAATCCGCGATCCTCGACAGACGATCGTGCGATATGAACCCGCCGTCGACGTTCGCACCCATTTGCACGGCGGCACGAAATGCATGCACGACGCACAGGACGGTCGACTCCTGGTACGCAGCCATGTCGTCGTCCTCCGGCCTGTCGTCAATGTTCACCCCCGCAAACCACAGTGGCAAGTCCATATTCAGGTCGATCGTGTGCGCGCAAACGGCCGTGCTCACCACGTTGCTCCACTCCTCGCCGTACCACATAACGCGCGCAAGGTCCGTTGCCACCGACTCCAACGCGTACTGGAAAGCGAGATTGTATCCGCGGGGGTGGTTGCCTGACTTGAACACCCACCCATGCAAGACGCGCAGAACTATGTTCTCTGCAGCCCCCCCGCGGATGATTGCTGGCTGTAGTTGAGCGGGATCAGCAATCCTCGTGAGGCTCGTCGCGGATTTCGACATGACGACGCTCCTGGACACGACGGGCGCTTGCACCCCGCTGGCGATGGCCTCGAAGTGCTCCCGCGTTCGGTGGACGATGTCGTAGAGCCGGCGCCCCTCCCCCGTTGTCCAGAATGCTTTGTCGTCGACCCACAGGCGGGCACGGTCGGCAAGATCTCTCGCCAACCCTCCCCTCCGCTCCCAGCTTAAAAGGGGGTCGTCGTCCTCTCTTTCGCCCTTATTCTCGCCGCGCGCAACCTCCCGCTCCACAACAGGAACCTCCTCCCTCGCCCCCGCCACGACAGCGACATTGCCTGAGGACCCCGCGCCTACACCAGCGCTCGCCACGCGTGCTTCTTGGTGGGCCACCTCACCTCCCCCGTGTTCGGTAGACCCTCCATCTGCAGCCGCGTTGCGCGGTCGCGGCTGTGACGACGTGGACGGCATGGCGCCCTGAGGTGGCCTTTCTTCATGCGCGGCGCATATCCTTACTCCCGTCGCCGTCGCACCTTGCATTGCATTTCGCTGCCTGCGGCTTTCCAATGGCTCATTGTCCTCGTCGCCGACGTCGACGACAACCTCCTTAGCTTTCGTGTTCCTCTGCCCACGACCTTGTTGCCCCTCCGGGGGGGGCGTGAGCTCTCCTCGCCGCGGCCTGATCATTCTTCGCTTGAAGAGTGCTGCCCGGGGTGCCGCCACGGTGTCATCTGCTGCTTCCTCCTCTGTCATGAACACGTCGTCATCTTCGTCTTCGTTCGATGCCGCCCAGTACCGCCCTCGCAGGAAAGGCACGCTTGGTGATGGCTCTTCTGAACGGAGCCTCTTTGACTTGGGGACATGCTGCCGACCCACTGCCCGCCCCTGGGTGTCAGCAGGGACGTTCTCTCGCTTCTTGCCACGACCGATGCCTCGCGTAGACATGATTCCCGTGCACTAGTGTCGCAGTGGTTGGCGAGAGCGCTCCGTGGCGAGAACAAGATCTTCGGTGGTGAATGGCGCCGCACCTCCGAACGACGTAGAGTTGTCCGCGACGATAAGGACAGTCTGCTCCGCATGGATGTCCTTCTGCTTGCCAGACGATCGTTGGGCGCGATCGACGACGACAGTGCAGAAGTCCCACTCGTGGAGCGCGAAGACAGGGGCGACCATGTGATGGTTGCGCGGTGCGTGGAGGACAGAAGGCAGGTGGCGTCCCGCGCGGATTTCGTCGCTGGTCACCATGTGCACCGACCTCCAGTACTGGATATGCCGCAAGGACAGCTTTATGTTGGAGCAGGCGCAAGCCCGCCAGAAACATGGAGCAGCTGGACGGGCCCCGAGCACGATTGTTCACCTGCCGTCGTTGTCGATAGCGACACGTGTGACAGCAACTCACCAGACCTCTTGCACGCGCACGCCCTTCAGCTTTTGCGACGCCCACCGTCCCCGCCGCGCGTACAGACCCTTCCACACTTGCACGAGCGCACGTCCATACAACACCAGGGGCCGATGTGAATTTCCTCCAGAGCACTGCCCCCACCAACACCCCCCCCCCCCCCCCCCCCC